AGAAAAAATAGTATAAAATATTCGTTTCATAAGACATTTTATCGCACTCGCCCTTTAGAAAACTCGCCTGCGGCTCGTTTTCTAATATAGGGCTCGTGCGATAAAATGACGTCTTATGAAACTTGTATTTTAATGTACTATTGTGCTACAATTTTGTGATTATTGCCAATACTAGTAGGTAGCACAGGAGGTACAGGGTGTCTGGTTATAAATTGATTTTTTTAACTGTACGATATAAACACATACTTTATTTTTTGACCGAATTGATAATCTTTGAAATAAAACTGACCATTTTTGAAATACATTTCACTTATTTGAAATACATTTGATTAGTCTGGGAGACGACCGCATTTTTCCTACCCCGATCGAGTTATGTGTCGACACTATTATCAATATATAGTATTATGTGCATCTATTAACCTGTATTCCTGCCTGAGAGCAAATGCTGCCGGAAATATCTTTTAACAAATTATTAACAAATTGAAAAAAACGTAACACTACCCCCATCGAGTTATGCCCTAAGTAGGGTATCAGATTGAAGGTCTCGATGTCCCCTATCTAAAAAGTCGATCCTGCCTCGTGAGAACTTGCCGGAAAAAGGAGGCAGGACAGCTTATTGGGGCAAGGGCTCGCGGTCTCTGCTTTGACACCTATCAAGCTTTGCACTAAATGATGTGTCAAATTAAAGGTGTCAATAAGTTGATTTAAGGTCTGTTCGCACAGAAATCACAAACCAGTCAGAGCGAATTTCATTGGTTGGAAACAGTCAGGAAACTAGTTTCAAATAATGAAATTCACTCCTTGTTTGGGATTTCTGTGCGACGAGACCTTAAATCAACTTATTGACACCTTTAATTTGACACATCATTCAGCGCAAAACTTGATAGGTGTCAAAGCTGAAACCGCGGGCCCTTGCTCCAATAAGCTGCCCTGCCATCCTTTTCCGGCAAGTTCTCACGAGGCAGGATCGACTTTTTAGATAGGGGACATCGAGACCTTCAATCTGATACCCTACTTAGGGCATAACTAGATGGGGGTAGTGTTACGTTTTTTTCAATTTGTTAATAATTTGTTAAAAGATATTTCCGGCAGCATTTGCTCTCAGGCAGGAATACAGGTTAATAGATACACATAATACTATATATTGATAATAGTGTCGACACATAACTCGATCGGGGTAGGAAAAATGCGGTCGTCTCCCTAACTAGATGTATTTTGAAAGAAATTTGGTAATTTTGAAAATACATTTGATGTATTTTGAAATAAAATTCATAAAGATTGAAATCAAATTTATGCTTTTTGATATTCAATTGATGATTTTGAAATACATTTGATATTTTTTTAAATTAAAGTTTTTATTTTGAAATACATTTGATGCTTTTTGAAATCAACTTTATCTATTTTGAACTAAAAGTGGAAATGGTGTAGTGCATAAAATATTTCCGGAAATTTTCGAAAATTTTGTCTGAAGCCAATTTTTTAACAAAATCATGCATAGCCTGAAAAAATCCCGAACCCGAAGGGTGAGGGATTTTTTCTTCGGCGCTATGCACGGTGATTCTCTTGATGGTGATTCTTATTGATCTTCCCCATTTAAATTGCGCTTGTCAAAAAATATAGATTTTGACAAATTTCTGACATTAATGCGTTTTAAATGGAAAAACTGGTCTCAATGTCAGAAAAGACAATTCTAGAAATTGCACCCGGAAATATCCCGCTCACCAGGGATATTTCCACTTATCAATTTTTGAAAATTACGAGGTAAATTTCCAGTTAAATATGCACAAGGGAAATTTCCAGTGTAATTTGCACAAAGGAAATTTCCAGAGATTGTAGTCCTCTACTGGGATGAGAATCGCTGAAAATTTCAGCTTTCTATCTATAATAGGAAAAAAGTTATGATCTTTCAAAGTTTTCCAAAATCTAAATCATAAGGTACCTATTATCCGTTCACAATCCGATGTCCACTGGTACCGGTAAAGCTTATCACCTTTCAATGGTATTTGATAGAGAAAGGTGAAAATGTACCTGCACCTGTGGACATCGGATTGTGAACAGGATATAGCTACCAGTACCTCAGTACTAAAACGATAAAATTTATTTTTTTTGTTGTTGTTGTGATTTTGTGTCTCAATGATCCTCTAAACTCCATACACTAAATTATTCTGGGATCTGGAGCCGGATTCTATAAAAGAGGCACTCAGAAAAATTGAAAAATTGATAAATCACCCCAAATTGCTTAACGCGATTTTATTTCTGGAACCATAAGTCTAAATGAGCTGAAATTTTCAGGGATTGTAATCCTCTACTGGGATGAGAATCACTGAAAATTTCAGCTTTATGAGATTTTGAAAGTTTTCCAAAATCTAAATCATAAAGTAGCTACGTCAGTATTAAAACGATTAAATTTCAGTTTTTTTTTTTGTTGAGATTTTGTGTCTTAATGGTCCTTTGGGACCCCTCAAACTCCATACACTAAATTACTCTGAGATTTGGAGCCGGATTCTATGAAAAAAGGCACTCAGTAGATTTCGACTAAAAGTCAACTTTGTGGCTCAATTGCTCAAAAAGTATTTGAGCTATCAAACTCAATTTAGCACAGATTTATAGAGAATTTAATGATTTTTCTAATAGTGTATAATAATATATTTTGATTTTATCCACCCAAAAACCGAAAAAAATTTACCTGAAATTCACTTCAATGTTCTATTTTTCCCCAAAACGAACCTGTTCAGGGCACCAACCAACCGTACAGAATAAAACCCAATCTGCAACTTTAAATAAATAGAGGAACTCAATTTGCATTATTTACCAACAATAATTATATTTGTCCTTTTCAATGAACCCTAAGTTATTACCCTGATTTTTATAATAGACTTAAAAGTAATTATTTACTAATAAACCATGAGATAAAAATTATTTACCAATAAAAATGCAGTAAAAGTAATTAAAAATTAGCTTGTGCAATTGGTACGATACATAATCCAGTACCAAGTAGAATTTGCACTAATGTAAGTATTTTAGGGCCAAAGAAAAATAAAGTTAATTTGCATTGCATCAAGCAAATATTTAATTAGAAAATTACTTCACCTTCGCAGTTTTTATTACTTCCTTACTAGGGAAGTTATTATTTCCTTGAGCATCTTTGTACCAAGGTTGATTCAAGTAATTTCAAATTACGGCATTTTTCAAGAAAATTGCATTGAATTTGTCGATTAAAGAATTTAGCACATTAAAATTTTATGACTTAAAAAACTTGTTAAAATTGCTAATTTTGTCTTATTGAATCTTGAATCCAATGAAATCAAATTCAAAAAATCGATTTTGATGCATTGACAGTTTCTCTAGCAATTAACTTACACAATTATGAATAATTTAGGCAATTTTTTCATTTACTGTATTTTTTTCAAGGTTTCTGGTTCGAGATAAAAGTGGTTAATAATTGATACAAAATATGCGAAAAAATTCGATTCGGTTTAATGTTAATTGCAGTCGAGAAATTTTTGTCAATTATTTCGATAATGATATGCCGGGAAAAATGCCTATGTAAATTTCTACGTAAAAATTTGTCCATTTCAATATTTATACACTTTGTTATGGTTTGGAATTTGGAGAATTTTTTTTTTTGAATTTCAATATTGTTGGAAATTGTTCCTGTATTTGATTTTTTGGATCAAAATTTTCATTTTTAGATCAGCAACAATCTCATTCTGGATCCCAAGATTACGAATCAAATACTGCATCTCTTATGTTGATATGCTATATTTGTAGTAATATAAATCTTGGGTTAGTTGCGTTTTCAACGAACTTTTCTAAAGTTGCTTTTTACGAATTTATCAACTCTCATCAGAAGTGAATCATAAGCAATCTCCTGAAGCTGCTTCTGATTCTGAGTTACTAACGCCTTTCTTCAACTGATTTTTCATTACAAAATTGCCTTTGATGGATTGTTTTTCTCATTCTAAATTGTCATTCTGAAAATAGAGATGTTCATTGAAATGCTCTATCAAAATTGAGCAACTAGAGCTGTTTATCTTAAAACTTCTGATAAAATTTTGAAAACTTTTTTTCTCATAAAAACGCACAAAATTTTTTGAAAAAATGAAGGAAAAAATTGTCTCAAACATCTACCAAAATCAAAACCAACAAATCAATACAAAAAGCGAAATTAAGTACCGGTCAATTAAAATCAACAAACGAAAGTGTATTATACATTTGCACTCACTCTTTAATTCTGCACCCAAAACCGGCAGAAGAAGCGAACTTAACGCTTAAGTAGAACACTCGCACATGCCTCAAAGGTACTACACACTTTCGTTTACACCACGTAAAAGCCGATTACTTAATTCGAAGCTCTGGGTACTACGAACCTCCCGTGATGGAACCCACCGCTCGATTTTTGCATATGCACTTGCAAATTTGTACCAGCCGAACTCCCCCTACTCTATACAGTTGCCGGTACCATCAAACCGTGAAATTGTTAGATAATTTTTAGGAATTTTTTAATCGGATTGACATTGGCATTGTGTAACGATTGATGACTCGAAATTCAATTTCTTAACAAAGACGAGAATCACAGCTAGAGTATTATCTTCATTTTTTGGCAGTGCTCATCTAGAAATTGACTGTGAGACATTCAGAAAGTGAATTTCTGAAACAAATAAGCTGTGTGAGAAACATTAGTTAGCTTTTATCTGAAAAATCACCAGAAAGATGTTAGAAGTGACTCTGCAACTAAAGCTAAACTATAAGAACAATAAGGAGTCTTTAGAGTCATATTCTGCTAAGTCACAGTTCTTTCCCATTTTTTAGAAACTTCTAGAAGAAAGCATTTCATGCCAAATTTTGTAGTCCAACTTCGAGCTACAGTTTTTGTTTCATGAAACTTTTTTTAAAGAAATTTATCTCGAATAAAGAAATCAGATCAATAATATTCCATTTCCATTGAGTGCTGGATAAAACGATAATAATCTCAAATTAGTACATAATAAGGTATTTACCGCACTGGTCATTCCAGCTACAGCTTTAGCTTGTGTCTGTCTCATGTTTGCTCCTATAGATGTATATCAATATACCATCATCAACTGTAAGATTTTACACATTTCACACGCTTTTCTCTAAAACTAAAGTCACGTGCAAAATAATAAAAATCGAGGTGTCGCAACAAAAAGCCTCGCGGATCTAGACTAAATCGAATGATAGAGCGTCCTTTTTACGGTGCTACTATAGAGTAGGTACCTTAAATAGTAATAATAAATTTATTAAAGGAAAGATTAACCAATTGGGTAAAGTAAACGGCTCAAACTTGTATTGAGATAACGGTGCTGGAGACAAGAAAGAGACGGTTTTCAGACGATAGAGTTTATTTTAGAAAAATTAAATTTAACAACTTAGGATAATTTTTATTGTTTGCGAACCAGTTTATGTGAAATTTTAGTATGTTTTACACTGAAAATCTTGTAAATCACAACTTGTAGCTCAAAAGGAGTTAGTTTACAGCTTGGCCAATAATTGACAGTTTTCTACATAAGAACTTAAAATCTTGTTTCCATTATTTCTACACCTTTTTCAATTGTAACTCATGAAATCAAAGTTCAATTTCACAATAGGATTTTGTAATTTAGCGAAGAAAAAATTGAATTTAATTTCAGAATTGGGAAAATGAAATTCAGAAAAGCACTCATAGATATTTTACTGATTCTGAATCACATCCCAGTAAACACCGCAGCTACATAAATTTAAGGTGAAAATTTACGTAACATCACGAGCCCGTAGGATGAGGGTTTTTTAAATCATGGAGCCCTTATTAGGGCGAGGGATTTTTTCTGCTGATATGTACTGCTTTACCAATTATGTAATTTCTCAGTTTTTTTCCAGTCACAATAAGGTAAAATTTAATTTAACCGTAATGCATGTGATGAAATGTGACCAATTCTCAATAACATTTTCCTGAAAAAGTTTGAAAGGTCATAACTTTTTTTCTACTAGAGATAGAAAGCTGAAATTTTCAGCGATTCTTATCCCAGTAGAGGACTACAATCCCTGAATTTCAGCTCATTTGAATTTATAGTTCCAGAAATAAAATCGTGTTAAGCAATTTGGGGTGATTCATCGATTTCTCAATTTTTCTAAGTGCCTTTTTTTATAGAGTCGAGCTCCAAATCTTAGAATATTTTAGTGTATGGAGTTTGGGGGATCCCAAAGGACCATTAGGACACAAAATCTCAAAAGAAAAAAAATTGAGATTTCATCGTTTTAGTAAGAAGGTTTATGATTTAGATTTTGGAAAACTTTGAAAGGTCATAACTTTTTTTCTATTAAAGATAGAAAACTGAAATTTTCAGTGATTCTTATCTTAGCAGAGGATTACAACTCCTGAAAATTTCAGCCTATTTGGATTTATAGTTTCAGAAATAAAATCGTGTTAAGCAATTTGGGGTGATTCATCGATTTCTCCATTTTTCTGAGTGCCTTTTTTTATAGAGTCGAGCTCCAAATCTTAGAATATTTTAGTGTATGGACTTTGGGGGATCCCAAAGGACCATTAGGACACAAAATCTCAACAGAAAAAAAATTGAGATTTCATCGTTTTAGTAAGAAGGTTACTTACTACCTTATGATTAAGATTTTGGAAAACTTTGAAAGGTCATAACTTTTTTTTTACTAGAGATAGAAAGCTGAAATTTCCAGCGATTCTTATTCCAGTAGAGGACTACAATCCCTGAAAATTTTAGCTCATTTGGACTTATAGTTCCAGAAATTAAATCGTGTTAAGCAATTATTGGGGTGATTCATCAAATTTTCAATTTTTCTGAGTGCCTTTTTTCATTGAATCTGGCTCCAAATCTTAGAATAATTTAGTGTATGGAGTTTGGGGGATCCCAAAGGACCATTAGGGCACAAAATCGCAAAAGAAAAAAAATTGAGATTTCATCGTTTTAGTAAGAAGGTTTATGATTTAGATTTTGGAAAACTTTGAAAGGTCATAACTTTTTTTCTATTAAAGATAGAAAACTGAAATTTTCAGTGATTCTTATCTTAGCAGAGGATTAGAACTCCTGAAAATTTCAGCCTATTTGGATTTATAGTTTCAGAAATAAAATCGTGTTAAGCAATTTGGGGTGATTCATCGATTTCTCCATTTTTCTGAGTGCCTTTTTTTATAGAGTCGAGCTCCAAATCTTAGAATATTTTAGTGTATGGACTTTGGGGGATCCCAAAGGACCATTAGGACACAAAATCTCAACAGAAAAAAAATTGAGATTTCATCGTTTTAGTAAGAAGGTTACTTACTACCTTATGATTAAGATTTTGGAAAACTTTGAAAGGTCATAACTTTTTTTTTACTAGAGATAGAAAGCTGAAATTTCCAGCGATTCTTATTCCAGTAGAGGACTACAATCCCTGAAAATTTTAGCTCATTTGGACTTATAGTTCCAGAAATTAAATCGTGTTAAGCAATTATTGGGGTGATTCATCAAATTTTCAATTTTTCTGAGTGCCTTTTTTCATTGAATCTGGCTCCAAATCTTAGAATAATTTAGTGTATGGAGTTTGGGGGATCCCAAAGGACCATTAGGACACAAAATCTCAACAGAAAAAAATTGAGATTTCATGGTTTTAGTAAGAAGGTAGCTAACTTATGATTTAGATTTTGGAAAATTTTGAAAGGTCATAACTTTTTTTCTATTGAAGATAGAAAGGTGAAATTTTCTGCGATACTTATCCCAGTAGAGGACTACAATCCCTGAAAATTTCAGTTCATCCGGACTTATAGTTCAAGAAATAGAATTGTGTTAAGCAATTTATGAGGTGATTTTCCAATGTTTCCAATTTTTATGAGTGCCTTTTTTCATAGAATCCGGATACAAATCTCAGAATAATTTATTGTATAGAGTTTAGGGGATCCCAAAGAACCATTAGGACACAAAATCTCAACAGAAAAAAAAATTGAGATTTCATCGCTTTAGTGATTTATATTTTGGAAAACTTTGAAAAGTCATAACTTTTTTTATATTGAAGATAGGCAGCTGAAATTTTCTGCGATTCTTATCCCAGTAGAGGACTACAATCCCTGAAAATTTCAGCTCATTTGGACTTATAGTTCCAGAAATAAAATCTTGTTAAGCAATTTGGGGTGATTTATCAATTTCTCAATTTTTCTGAGTGCCTTTTTTCATAGAATCTGGCTCCAAACCTCAAAATAATTTAGTGTATGGAGTTTTGGGGGATCCCAAGATCCATTAGGATACAAAATCTCAGCAGAAAAAATATTGAGATTTCATCGTTTTAGTAAGAAGGTAGCTACCTACCTTATGATTTAAATTTTGGAAAACTTTGAAAGTCATAACTTTTTTTCTATTATAGATAGAGAGCTGAAATTTTCAGTGATCCCTATTCCAGTAGGAGACTACAATCCCTGATAATTTCAGCTCATTTGGACTTATATTTCTAGAAATAAAATCGTGTTAAGCAATTTGGGGTGGTTTATCCATTTTTCAATTTTTCTGAATGCTTTTTTTCATAGAATCTGGCTCCAAATCTCAGAATAATTTAGTATTTGGACTCTGGGAAATCCCAAAGGACCATTAAGACACAAAATCGCAAGAAAAAAAAAAAATTGAAATTTCATCGTTTTAGTACTGAGGTTCATTTTTTTATTTCTGATTCACAAAATTGCTTATATAAATAACAATTTATATTTACTGATATCAAAGTCTTGATATTAAATTTCCCCTTCCTGAAATGCATATTCCTATTCTGAATTACAAAATCTCATTTCTGAATAACAATTTCCATCTTCTGAAATTTAATTCAGTAGGAAGTTCTGCCTCAAATCGTAATTTTATTATTTGTAGCTCAATTATTGTTTGTTGTTTAACCAGCTCAATTTTTTTAAAAAATATTCCTTCACATTGTCATTTAAGATGTTAAGGAATACGTTTCTATACACCAAAAATAGCTTCTAAATAGTACACACGCCCGGCTTTTTATTTTTAGCCCAGCAGATTGTTCAAAACATCCAAGAGTGTTCCGCAATAATGTCGTCAAAAATGAAAGCCAGCATAACCGATTTCCAAAAATATTGCGAAAAAGCCATCGGAAAATTAACTCCTGAATGCATTGAAGCCTTCAGACAAACCAAAGATGACATTTCAAGGATCCAACTCATGTACGATGTGGCCAAACAAATTCCTTTAAGTGCCTGCGAAAGTGACAAAGCCTTTAAACTTGCCGAAGCAAAGAAAAATGAGGGCAACAAGTATTTTGCGAAAAAAGATTACCATAAGGCAATCAGATGTTATAATGATGGCATTATATGTTGCCCCCAAGAATCAAGTAAGAATTGTGACTAAATAATTGACCTAATAATAAAATAATGAATCTATTTCCAGTCCCTGATAGAGAACTACTAACAATTTTAGTTTCGAATCGTAGCGCAACAAATTTCGAGTTGGACAAATACCGTAGAGTCCTGGACGATATTGATTACATCAGTGAAATAGGAGATTATCCGGCCAATTTGAAATACAAACTCTGGCTAAGAAAGGCCAAATCTTATGATGCTTTGCAAAATAAGAAACTGGCCACTGAAGCTTACAGTGAAGCGTTGAAATGCTTGAAACAGAGCGATTTGAAAGAGGATGTTGTGCAAAGTAAAATAGAAGAGATTGAAAAGGCTAAAAAGGGTGGTGGTGTGATAAAAAAGGAAAATAAGCTGGAATTGATACCTTTGGCTTTTACTGAGGACAGGTTTGTGGGCGGTGAGGAATTTGTTGCTGCTAATCCTAACATTACTGTTGGTCAAGATGCTTATCAGGGACGGTATGCTAAAGCTACTGGAGATATTGAAACAGGTATGATTATGGATGTTTTTTTGAGAAAATTTCAAGTAACAAAAAGCTCTTGATTCCTATTTATTATTTTGCCCTTTATACTTTTGATCTACAGTCTATAGTTGCCAGGATTTTTTTCCTCTAATAGGGTCAGAAAAGTCTCACTAAATAGTAGATAAAAGTGGAGGAAGACATTTCAAAAATGGTTGAATGTGGTATTTTAACGAAAGTCACACACAGCAAATGGGCAAGTCCCATTATTGTAGTTCCAAAAAAAAATTCTACTGATATTAGGCTATGTGTGGATTTTAAAAAAACATTAAATCGGGCTATTGATACTGAGCATTGTGTTTTGCCATTGCCAACCGATATTTTTGCTAGTTTGAATGGAGGTAACTGTTTTTCTGTTATAGATCTAAAGGGTGCGTATCAGCAATTACAAATAAGTGATTCTTCAAATGAACTTTTCACGATAAACACCCATATGGGTCTTTTCAAATTTAATAGACTAACATACGGAGTCAGTTCCGCTCCAAGTATTTTCCAATGTATAATGGATGCAATTTTGGCTGGTATACCCAAAACTAAGTGTTATCTTGATGATATTTTGGTTCATGGAGAAACCATGGAAGAATGTAATGAAAATCTTAAAAATGTTTTAAAAAGATTAAAAAAGTTTAACGTTAAAATTAATAAGAACAAATGTAAGTTCTTTGAACAGTCTGTTGTATTTTTAGGTCATGAAATAAATAATAAGGGCATCCATCCTACAGACGAGAAAATAGAGTGTATAAGTAAAGCACCTTCACCTCAAAACGTGACAGAGTTAAAATCCTACTTGGGATTGTTAAATTACTATGGAAGGTTTATTCACATGCTATCTGCCAAGCTCAAACCTTTATATGATTTGTGCAAAGGTAACACTGATTTCTGTTGGACAGATGAGTGTGAGCAAACGTTTCAAGAAAGTAAAAAAATGATTACCTCTAAAAATGTCTTAGCTCACTACGATCCAGAAAAGCCTATTTTTATTACTTGCGATTCAAGTGGCTATGGAGTGGGTGCAGTGCTTAGCCATAAAATTAAGGGAGTTGAAAGACCAGTATTATTTGCCTCTAGCACTTTATCAGAAAATGAAAAAAAGTACTCAAATTTAGAGCGTGAAAGTTTGGCCATAATTTTCAGTTTAAAAAAATTTCACAAGTATATATATGGTCGAAAGTTTACACTAGTATCGGATCACCAATCTCTTCAATTCATTTTTGGTAAAAATAAAAATATTCCGGTTACAGCTGCATCTCGTATAATGCCCGTATTACATCTGTGTATTTTTCCGTGTATTTATTCGTGTAGTTCAGGGTGACAACCGAAAAAATTCGAACGTAACAGAAATCAACATGAAAAACAAAATAATGTTGGCACCCTGAACTACATGTATAAATACACGGAAAAATACACAGATGTAATACGGGCATTACTCGTTGGGCACTAATACTGTCTGCTTATGATTATGACATTACTTATAAAAAGGGTTCTTTAATAGTGTCACAATAAGCTAAACGTCCGCCAGGCTGTCAAGAATCTCTCGGTATTATCTCTTGAGTATACTAGAATCTAGTGAATTATTCTACTTAATTCGGGAAAATAAGATTATCGTGTGTATTCTAGATTTTACAGGAATAGATTTAGGGATATATAAAGGCGGCTATTGCTTTGTAGTTTTAAGTTAAAGTTTGACTGTGATACGAGTTAAATAGTGATTATTGAGTTGTAAAGTTTAATTGTTGAGTTAGTTATTAAAGTAATTAGTGTCAGAGTGTTTTGTTAAGTGGAATAAATTATTGCTGTGTTAATTGGACTTTGATTTTTTTGGAATAAACGAAACGAACCACGAACCCAAGAATTTTGTCAGCAGGCAACCCAAAGCTGCGACATTGGTGCCAAGAAGTGGGATATAAAGGACTGCAGAGTGAAATCCAATTGCGGAAGTGTGGGGACACTAGTGTAGTGTAAAAACTGAACACTAAGTGAACACTGGGGCAGTTAGTGCAGTGCAAACAGTGACAATCACAAAAAGAGACTCAACCGATCGTGTAAATTACCCCGGAAGTGACTCTATCCCCGATTTAGACTGTGATAGTGAATCTTCGAGTGAGTTCTAGAAAATTCTATTTGGAAACTAAGGGAGATATCGAATTTGTGACTTCGCCGACGTATTCGGAACATCAATCGTCATTCATAAGAAGTTTTTCGAGGAGTTTCGGGAAAATTCTAGAACATTCTATTTGGAAACCAAGGGAGATATCGAAATTGTGACTCCACCAACGTGTTTGCTGTATCAATCGACATCTAGAAAAGAAGTTTCAAGAAAATTCCAGAACATTCCATTCTAGAATAAGGCAAGTTATCCAATTTGTGACTTCACCGGCGTGTTTGGAACTTCAAGCAAAGACCAGAAAAGATATTTGAAGAAAGTTCGAGGGAAATTCTAGAACATTCTGTATATGCCTATCACATGACAACAAGCCAAAATGGACGAACAAAAAGTTGAAGAACTCCTGCACAAAATGTTTGAACTTCAAGAGACCAAACGACAACAAGAAAAACAAGACGAAAAAGCCAGACGACAACAAGAAAAACAAGACGAAAAAGCCAGACGACAACAAGAAAAACAAGACGAAGAAGCCAGACGACAGCAAGAAAAACAAGACGAAGAACTCAGGCGACAAAAAGAAAAACAAGAAGAAGAAGCTAGACGACAACAAGAAGAAGCTAGGCGACAACAAGAACGACAAGAAGACCTTGCAAAACTGCAGAAGATATTCCAAACCATACAAGGAACTGTCGCTAACTTAGACCAGAAGATTGAAAAAGTTAAAGACGATGTGCAAGAAGTTAAACACGACGTCCAGGAAGTAAAAACTGAAGTCAAAATCGATGTTCAAGAAGTTAAAGACGATGTAAGAGAAGTTAAACACGACGTTCAGGGAGTAAAAGCTGAGGTCAAAGCCGATGTTCAAGAAGTTAAAGACGATGTTCAGCAATTAAGACAAGAAGTGGAGGACCAAGTTCAAGCACTCGAGGATAAGATGCGTAGATTAGAAATACAGTCCATAAATCCAGCTAGTGTTGGAGCATTCTCCAGTATGAAGATAAAACCACCAACTTTCGACGGTTCTACGTCCTGGACCATGTATATTCGACAATTTGAAGCTGCTGCAAATACCAACGGATGGAACGACCAAGAAAAAGCTACAGCACTAATAGTGGCGCTACGAGGACCTGCCTTAGACCTTCTTCAGTCCATTCCTTCAGCCTACCAACAGAATTACCAGCATCTTAGTCAAACTTTAGAGCTGCGCTTCGGAGACCATTACAGACAAGAAGTATTCAGAACTCAAGTTAAATCAAGAGTTCAAAAACCCGGCGAGAGTCTACAAGAATTCGAATCGGAAGTTAAAAGGCTAGTGAGTTTGGCGTTTCCTGCAGCTGGGGAAGACATGCAGGAATGGATGGCAGTATCTGCGTTTATTGATGGTCTCAGAGATTCGAAGATCCAGGAAAACCTAAGAATGTCCAAGTTCAGACAAAGTAGCGAAGCCCTTGTCCGAGCATTAGAACTGGAAGCAATCTTTGGTGCCTCACGACCCAGAATACGAGCAGTGTCCATTGAAGACCCAAAAGATAAACAGTTGTCAAAAGAGGATGGTAGCTTCGAAGCCAAAATGAGTAATTTCATGGAGAGAATAAAGAAACTGTTACTAGAAGATAGAAAAATGAGGAACGATTCCAGACAAACACCAACACCGAGAAACCGAGTAAAATGCTACCGGTGCCAAAAGCTTGGACACATGCAATGGGATTGTAGACTAAGGATGTCCTTTCCATCTGGGGATCATTCTCAACGCTTTTCAAGGTCTAGAGACGCCAGCCCTAATAACAAACAGGAACCAACTAGTACGGAAGGGAGGATGCTGGCTAGTAATGACGAAGCCCCCAGAGTTGTGTACATAAAATCATTGGGCAATCATTGTCGAGGATTAAAATTCGAAGGACAAATTAATGGAGAATTGAAAGCCATTACTTTTGATACGGGTGCTGAAGTTTCCATAATTAGAAGAACATTAGTCAAGTCTCGGGCAATCCAACCGCTCACTAGAAACCTGTCACTACGAACAGTCACCGGCGAATCTGCACCAGTTCAAGGAGAAGCTATGGTTGAGCTCACTTTTGGATCTACCACCTTCAGGCACAGAACATTAGTCGCCGATATAGAAGACGATTTTATTTTGGGAATGGATTTGATCGGCCAACATGGTTTCTCTTTTGATCCTTCCTTGAACATCCTTAAATTTGGTAATGAAGAAATTGTCCTAACAACACAAGAAGAATCCGATGCCGTTAAGATCTTGGCCACAACCCCAGTGAGGATCCCTGGAAGTACTGAGAAGATCATTTGCGGAAGATTAGAAACAAACCCTGGGTGCCGCGTTGGGCTGACACGAAATTTCATTGGAGATAAACCAGAAAGATTTCTTGTTGGAAAGACTCTAGTAAGAACAAATGGAGACATTATGATAAGAATTGCCAATGTTTCTCCCGAAACAGTAAGAATAAAAGAAGGAGACATTATTGGAGCTCTCGAACCAGTAAAGCAAATATCGAACTGTGACCTACCAGATAAGCGACATTTTGTGAAATCCAAATTGGATACAGACAACTTGATGCAGACTTTGGCGAAATCATGGAAACATCTCGATCCAGATAGACTTCAAGAAGCCACAGATTTCATTTTGAAAGAAGCAGACGTATTTGTGATGGACAATCAAACGGGACGAACCAGCTTAATTCAACACAAAATTGATACTGGATTGGCACACCCAATTAGACAACCACCACGACGTATGCCAGTAGCTAAGCAACAGGAAGTGGAAAGCCAAATTGATAAAATGCTTCAAGAGGGAATCATTGAAGAGTCAAATAGCCCATGGTCCGCGCCAGTAGTACTGGTTACGAAGAAA